TCCTGCTGTATTAAGATGTGGGGAAGGAATATGTTTTTTGAGGTCATTGGATAAAACAAATACCTAAGACCAGTGATCTCACTGCTGTCAGATAGCTGTAAGTAAGACTTACAGCTCTTGGATGATTAGCCCAATATACCCAACATACATGTGCTACAAGTAGTGTAGATCTAAAGGAAAAACCTGAACTGCAGATGATTTTGAATCCTTACCTCCATTTCCTTATCAGTGTTTGTGGCCTCTCTAAATGCTGCCTCGGTTAACCAAAAGCTGGCTTGGTTTACTCAGATCTGGAGAGGCTGAGCTAGCTAACATCTATTGTTAGTACTCTCTTTTTAACTTGTTTGCTTTCATTTCATGTGCAGGTTTGGCACTCAGTTAAAAATAGCAGTGAGAATGATGCAGGGGGGGTGGCAGAGGAAACAGAAGGAAACAAAATGGTTTGAGAGTGTCAACCAAAATGGAGCATAATTTTTCTGTGAAGGCCTTTGAGGTTTTTGATGACTTTTCATCACTCTCACTCATTTTTCTCTTCCTCATTGCTTACAGAAGGATGAGTAAGTCTCATTCCAAAAAGCTCAAGATACTCAGTAGGCAGTAGGAGGACTGGAATTGCAAGGACGTCTCTCAGGAAATGACATCCCCAGCACTCAGTAAGATGAATAAAACAGTTCATTTTGCCATACTTTTGAAGTATTACTAGGGTTGTCTGTAGTGTCAAAGTCTGTCTGTGGAGAGATAGACTTAATATTTATAGCTAAGATGCATTAGCTCCTGCCTCCACTCTTCTTTCAAGGTTATTTTTTGCCTGCTTCTCACACTGTTGTCCAGGAAGCTATACATTGTTGATTTGCTTCTGGTTACTAATAAGTTAGACTAGATAGAAAAGGTGGATGGGAATCCTTCTTGCTGAGAACACACTGAGGGATCTGCCTTAAAATGAAGTGTCTGTGTAAGAGGTTATGGAGCAAACAGACAACAAGCAGGAGGAGCAAGAAGCAGATGAAGCCCCCAGGCATGGTGCTGCTAACAACAGTCTCAGCAGCAAATGTGTCACTACTTTCTAAAGAGGGTTTTAGGGGAAACCTGTGGACTGCAGATCTGGAAGTTTGACCACTGCCAACTGATTTAATAGAAAATAGAGCAAGGTAGAACTCTTGGACACCCACATAAACATTAAGTAGTAGAGGAGAGCCAGTGTGGGTTTTGTAATGGAAAGTTATGCCTTAAAAAAAATGCTGGAATTCTTGTAAGGCCTAACTAAACATGTTGAGAGGTCTGGCTTACAGTCTGCACTCGGATTTCAGGAAGCTTTGGAACAGGAGCCCTCACCTGAGCAGCCCGTGACATAATAAGGGAGTTCCCTGGCATAAATAAACAGTCAGTGCAAAGATAGGAAAGAGGATGTGAGGAAAGGGGCAGCCCTCCTGCTGGCTGGAGGTCACGGCAGGGGTGCCACAGGGCTGTTTTGTAAATCACCTGGAAAAACAACATTTCCAGCTGGCTTTGCCTTATTTGAGGTGGTGAAGAAGAGGGCTGAGAGTTATGAGTTACAAACATAAACTGTGGGTGAGGAGCAGTCCTAATTTCACACAAAATGAGTGAGTTTTTGGAGCTGTAATGACTAATTCAGTGAAGCTTTCTTCATTAGTAAAGTCTGTTTGGATAGTTTTACAGAGCCTCAGGGAAGACTCCATCAGGTCACAGTTACTAAGTACACAGAAACTGTGTCTGGCTCAGCAGGTTCTGTTCTGGAGACATGGGGGATGTGTGGAGAAGCAGCGTGTGCTTATCCTGTTCTTCCCAAGGCTCCTGCTTTCAACCTGTGTTGGAGAGCAGATACAGGGGGAGCTATCCCAGGGATACAGGGAGTGCTGGCCCAGCACTGACCATTCCTGTATTCCCACACAGAATCTGTACAGCTGGGAACTGGTGTGAGAAATTGGCTCTCTGGTAGCAGCAGTGCCCTCTTACACACACTTCTTCATCATGCTGTCAGGAAGACAGATGTGTGTGAGGAAAACTTTGCAGGTATCCCGACCTGTGAGCCAAAAGTACAAGCAATTACTGGTGGGATAGTTTTTTAACCTCTTTTTTAGTGAAAGCTCATTAAATACATAAGGAACTAGCTACAAATGCAGTCTTAGTAGAAGGTTTGAAGAAGTCTGTGTAGGCTCAGTTGCGCCTTGACTACACAGTGTATCTGCTGCTGAGCTGTATTGTACACAGATTTCAACTGTCTATCTGATTCTGGCTTGCAGGGTCCCTGAACACTTGCCTGAGACTCACCCAACAGCCCTGAACACTTCAGGCACTTGTGCAGCTCTTGATCTTCCTTCTCTGGCTTCCATACTTTTATTTTTGTGCATGTGTACACACATGTGCTTAACAACTTGTAGCTAGTTTGGTTACAACAGGTTTAGTTAAAAGCCATTAAACCCACAGCTGATTCTTATTTGAGGCACAGAAGTGGAATTTGTTTACTGTACAAGCAAGAAAATCTAGATAGAAATGAAGAGCTGCAGAATTTTCTGTAGGCTTCCATGTGAAAAGATTGTGTCTCTGACCTCCCAAACACACAGGGCCCACTTGTTAGGTTCTGACTTCTACAGGACACTTTTTTTCGTGGGCAGGAAGGGATGCGTGTATACAAGCATCATCCTTTATAGAATGTGTAGGTAGGCTTGGAGGTGTAGAGTTTTGTGTTTCACACTTTGCTTTGAACAAGCAGGGAGACAGGGTAGACTGGGTTTTTTCTGGGTTGCTGAGATTGTACTGCAGTCCCCTCATTCTGCCTTTTGGCTTTTAAAGCAACCACATTTCTTCACGTGACCCATTTCTCATGACTGAGGCAGTTTCCTGCTGCTGTGTGTCATGGGAGTTGAAGATGCTGAGCTCTGTCTAGGATGAGCCCCTAGGGATGAAGTTCCAAGCACCCCAAGGCTGCTGGTGTTACATTCACTTGAGAGCACTGGCAGCTTTCAAGAATTACTGAATTGGAAACACAGGAGGTGCCAGGCAGCTCAGATCCTGTCTCTGATGTCACATTCCATAAGAGCACAAATGACCACAGGAGCTATCCCTCCCCTCCAGCTGGCCAAGTCTGCAGCACATCTTTATGTGTGGCTGATGAGCTGGAAGCTCCAGTTAATACTGTCAGGGAAGCCTGGAGGTCCTGTCTTCAGTGTGAAGCATTCCCTCGACTGACCCTCCAAAAGAACCAGTCTGATCTGGGGAACTGTCCCTCCTCTGTCCTTTCCTTCCTGCAAACCTTGTTCCCACTCACACCCTCTCTCCTAGGCAGGATTCTCAGTTGCAAAGGCCACCAGGGAATTTTAAGAATTCCTAGCAGGTGAAAACCACAGTTCAAAGCAGAATACCTGGTGTGGGGCTGGCAACTCTGACATCACAGAATTATTGCAATAAAGAATGTGGTGTTTAGAAAAAAGTCTAAACATCCCCCCTCTCTGCCAGCTGTGCCAATGTGTTGGGGTTTTTTCTGGTTGGGTTTGTTTTTTTCCTGCCTATTTTTAGATGTTTGTGTCTGGATTCTTGTTAAGTGAAATGTGATCCTGCTGAGGACTTGGCACTGGGGATCCAGAGTGCAGCAGTGCTGAATTTGTTTCACTGTAGTTCAAGGAAGTATTGCTGGTGGATCTTTCTTTGTGAGAAACATCAGAGTAAGATCCAGATTGGTTTTGGTGGTGAAGGATTTTGTAGTCTTTTTTACAAGCTGGTGAAAAATCAGTGGCAATGTCTACTTGATTCTATATATCCCTCCCTTGCAAGTTCTGCTGTATATAGGATTCTTTATTTCTAATTATGTATGATGCTGAACCTTTGCTTTCTTCTCTTACATCTGGCTGAATTTCAGAACTGATGAGGCATCTTCTAAAACCTGGTGTCTTTGCTTTCTCTTGCAAGAATCCTTTTTTGAGGCTGAAAATTTAGTGTCAGTGGGGGAATTTTAAAAGCATGGTTTCAGCTTTTTGTGTATTCAGTGTAGGAAAAAAGCATTCCCCACTGTTTCCATAGCCTTTTGTATAAAATGGGCTAAAGAGCATCTCCAGCAGTGCCCCAGCTGCCAGGTGGTCTTTGACTAGACGAGTAGAAAACTGCAAATTGTGCTTGAGTTTGAGCTGATGATGTGCTGTTGCTGTCATGATCTCCAGCTCCAAAATCTCTTAGCCTGTTTCAGAGTGCTTTGTACACCGAGTAAGTTTGTTCCTGTTTGACAGGTGTAAGGACTGTGGCACAGAAAAGGAAACATTAGCTTTTTGAAACTCCCATAGTAAATTGGTGACAAACCCAGAACAACTGCAGGTTACATCGTTGCCTCCACTGCACACTGTCGACTGGAAGGGGCAAATCTTCAGCTTTCTGGTAGGTTAAATTTGAAGCTTATTTTGTGGAGGTTCTAACACAAACATTCCTACAGCATGATAAACAAGTTTGTAACTGTAAATAGGGCATCTCCCAACTCAAATGTTCTTTGTCCTTTGGGGTTTTAGATTCTGATCTGTTTACATTACTGTTTAAATGATTGATACATGACTTCTGGTGACTTTCTAAGTGAGCACAATTTTTGAAGTGGTTGCTTCCTATTTTTTTTTCCTGTCTGCTTAACAGATTAGTTCTAGGTAAAAAGTAAATAGTGCTGGTTCATTTCTGCTTTCAGTTTCTGGATTTCCTAACCTAACAGTTCACAAGCTCGTTTTTACTGCCAAGTGAAGAAGAGTTGGCTTTTATCTGCAGCCCTTAAAAGATGAATACTCAAACTGCAGTCTTCTATTTGCTTATCAGCAGAGCCCAGTATTTGCCTGGCTTGTAGGCCCAGCTGAATCTGTCAGCTGCTGCTATAGTTTGCTTAGGTCGTGTGATTAGTTAGTTGTTAGATTCGTTGTTCTAGAGAGATGTGTAAAAACAAGAGTTTGTGGAAATAAGTTACTTTTAAATAAGCTTTATATGCCTAATTATGTTGATATCAGTTTTCTAGAACTATGCCAAGAAAAAGAAAACTGTTGGCTCAGTTAAGTGCTCTCCAAAGCAGCTCCAGCTCCCCTCCATTCGGTGCCTTGGGGAACGTGAACGCTGCGCCGGATGGGGATTCTGCTCCAAAAAGCAGCAAGTATTTTGCAGTAGAGAAAAAAACCTCTTCCCAGCTAGATGCAGATTTTTTCAACCAGCCATGTATTAGTCTGGCCAAGTCCTTCCTGGGACAGGTAAGACCTGAACACAGATTACTGTACTGGAGTGTGTGCTAGCTAATAAATTAGTGTAAAAGGATGAAATTCTCTTTTTTTTTGCCATTTGAGTCCAGGGCTATGCTATTTTAGGACTACAGCTCTCATTCCTTCTCCTGTTAAGTGCAGTGGAATTTAAAGACTAGTAGCCAAATCTATTTTAGATGAAGTCAGAGGAGTAAATTTTCAGGTTTAGTTTACTGTCACATTTCAGAATTCGCTTTTGTGGAGTTTTTCTCCCTTTTTTTCCCTGGTTTGCTGAAATATACTTTGCTGGTTGTTGTTTGAAGGTTGTTTCAGGCCCATTATTTTCCTTTCAGGTATTCCTTTATTTTGTTTTTGCCTCTGGCTTAGCCCAATGGAAAGTAACACTCTGCAGTCAGCAACATCTCCTGCTCTGCCTCCATTTTACTGCCTTGCGATGTGAATAGATTGGCAGGTCCTGGGCCTTTCTTGACCAGCATCCACTGGTCATGGTGTGCTCAAACCTTTCATTTTCATCTGCAGGTTCCGCAGCCTGCTTGGTACTTCCTTTTATGCTGCCCTGCATGCTTTGGAAGTTGTATCTCCTACTACCTGCTTTGATTTTTGCTGTTCTCAGTAACTCAATACTGTCAGTACACGAGGTGAGCTCTTTAATGATCACTTTTCAGAGGTTATTAACACAACATGTGAGGCAGCACAGGCCATACCATGGAAACATTTAGGACTCCACAGGCCCACAGTTGAACTTTTTCCACTCCAAAAACCACTATTCCTGTCTTGTTTCTGAGTTTTCAAGACATTACTTCTTCCTGAAAGGACCTTCTCCCTTATTCCATTGCAGAAACTTTGAACCTTGTTGAAAGCCTTTTGAAATCAGAGTGGGGGAGATTAAATGTGTCTCTTCTGCTGAGTGAATCCTTGAGAAAACTCCCCTGTTGTTTCCAGAGGAGGGAGTTTCTCCAGTGTTTTCCCTATAAAAACTTCCAGTCTGGGACCTCCTAAACACACTTGCAAAATGTGGTTTTAGTTTCATTGCTATGGTCTTATCTGAGTCTTTTTTTATACCTTTATTGTCTGTAGGGTGAACAGACTCTCTGGGTTCTCATTGGATTAGATAACTCCAGGAATTTGTTCCACAAACTGTTGCTTTTGGCTTCTCTTGCTGTCTCTAGCTCTTTTTTTTTATTTCCTAAGGATATTGTCTTGCTTATAATTGACGCCTTTGCTCTGCTCTTTAACCCTGCTGGGTTTTTTTTGGTCTGTCTTAACCTCCCTCTGATATGTCATGTGTGTTTACTGCCTTGTAGACATCCTGCTAGAGGCTTGCCTTTCCAGCTTTAACCTTTGGCTGCCACTTTTAAGTTCTTCCTAACAAGCTTCCTCACTCGATGCAGTTTCCCGTTGTTGCCGGTGAGCAGAACTCTGATAGATTATTTTTGGACCTTAATGCATGTGGAAGGACACTGAACTTTATACTCCATGGTCATGATATAAAGTTGTTTTTCAGGGCTAGGTCTTTGTATTTTGCTCTGGATCAGTTTGAGAATTTAATCTTTTCTTATGGGATTGCCAGTTACTCACTCTGCAAAGCAATTGATGGTGTCTAAAAAAACACAACCCGTGTCCTGTCCTACTGTGATATTTACTTGGTCTACGTTGAGGATACCTTGAAGACCCTCAGTCCTGATACATTTTTTGTTGTCTTAATGACTCTGACATCCTTACATGTGCAGTTACCCTGGGCAGAGGAGATTTTTCTCCTAATCCTATACTTTTCCTGCTCAGGCCTTGGATTATATGACAGAGGATTTCTATCTGAATTTTAGACTTTAGTATAACCCCCAGTCTCCCATGACCCAGTTTATTCTCTCATTTTCTTAGAATTATAACTATATGGTAATTTACTGTTTCATTCATTATCTTCACGCTACCAAATTTTGGAGGCACCTGGCATATTAATATTGCTTACCTTAAAAATGATACTTGGATCATGTTAACGTGATAGCTTTTGGAAAGAAAAAAACTATCCCAAAACTTAAACACCATAAATGGCCTCTCAAAATGAATTGTCATAACATCAAGATACATCCTCAGTGAGATATAAAAACCTCTGTAAGATGGTTCACTGTGAGGTATTAGGAACAATCACCATTTTTTAACTGTGAATATTTGGTGTATCTGAAGAGCCAGGGAAATGCCTGCCTGCTTTTAAAATCATAACCTACCCAGAGCCTTTCATCAGGTTGGAGGAGAAACGTGGCCACACGGCTGTGCTTTTGGGGTGGTTACAGGCAGCTGCTCAACATCAGTGCTGTTCAAAAGTCACTGCATTTTCCATAAAAATAATAAACTGATTGTTTTCAACAACTTGAGAAGTGCTGTGGGGAAAGGGTCATCTACCGGGGTTGCAACGTTTGCAGCTGACTTGTGGAGCACCCATCCTGGACCAGGTCAATAACTGCACTGCCAATCCAGCCCAAACATCTGTGAGGAATCAAACTTTGTTTCCTGAAGGTCGTTTTTGAACAGCTGGCTTTCAATTTGGGATAAAGCCACAGCAGTTGCCTAAACGAGCCTATACCGCAGTATCCCTTCGACAGGCAGTCAGTAAAATAAGCAGCTTAGAAATCAGGTCAAAGTACCAAAAACTTTGTACGAAGTTTAGTGATTGTTTTATTTCTAAAGAGAATCCTTTCACTGTCGGGTTTTTTATCCCCACATCTGCTTTGTTTTATTTCAGGAGGTTGCAGCAGTGAGGAAAGCGCTGTAATAACCGAGAGGAGTAGTTGTCTGCCTGAAGCCAGTTCCCAGCTCTCCTGCACTGCCCTGCTCTGTGCTGCAGAAAGAGCACAGATACTCTGGGCCTGATTATCTCCATGGTCAGGGACTAGAACCTGACTGAAACATCTCTCTGGAGAGAGGCTCTCTGATCCTAGGAGTTATTTAATCGTCCCACTGTCATATTTCTTCTGATCTAAAGAACGTACATTCATGATACTTCACAGTTGATACTGATGGTGTCTTTTTTAACCTTACACCAAGTGGATTTGGATGCAGGATACAGAAAATAATCACAGAAGCAACTCTGTGGGGTTTATTCTATATAGGATCATGAATTGGTTCTTTATGGTACTGCCACATCTGGACACTCAGGGCATTTTGTAGGGTCAGTGACATGTGGGAACTTCTTGTACTGGGCTGTGGCCTGGACAGTAGAAGCTGAAAAAGCTGACGTTGGCTTGCAGACTGGACTGAGAGATGGAGAGGAGAATATGTAGCTCTGTCAGCTCCCTTTTTCTCACTTCTTTGTTTCCACAGCTCCTGTGCTCTGGTTATTTTGCACAGAGGGTTGCTAACTGATGCACTCTGACCTCTCTTTCAGATTTTAGTTCGCAAACTTCCTGATGGCAGAGAGCTCTGGGGGAGGATTGTTGAAACAGAAGCTTATCTGGGTGGGGAAGATGAGGCCTCCCACTCGAAAGGTGGGAAGCAAACGCAGCGCAACGCAGCGATGTTCATGAGGCCAGGAACCCTCTACGTGTATCAGATCTATGGGATTTATTTCTGTGTCAACGTTTCCAGCCAAGGTGAGTGGAGACTGAAAGGCACTGAACACCTACAGCACAGGGCTGGTATTTCAAGCTGTGCTTGCAGTGCTGCAGTCACTGGTGAGCTCCCTCTGGGCTCTGTGAAGGCAAAGGCTTGCTGTCATAATGCTGCCTTGGGAGCTGGGGTAGCCTGTGAAATTGAGATCCCAGTGATGCTCTACCCAGCCCCACGGTCACTCTGCATGGACTTCACCCTAACTTTTGGATCCTAGACTAGGACTTTGAAGAAATTATTTTGGGAGCAGTGAGTCAGACGGGTGGAGAGAGAAGACTTCTCTCCAGTGGCCAAGAACTGTTTCCAGGACTGGAGCTATTCCAGAGAAGGAGCAACAAGCTGCACAGTGGGGGTGTGGGACTTCCCTATCATTTTATGATTTCTAGCTGCTCAGGGAGAGAATTGGCCTCTGTGTTGCCAGATCCCAGCTTTTAGTTCTGAATGCTGCTCATTAGATGGAGTGACTCCTAGGCATGGGAGGGAGATACTCAGCATCTCTGGACTGGTGCTGGGTTAGGCAGATGCTGCAGCTGGATAACCCCTAAGAGCAAACTGCTGCAGGCTGTGGAGGGGAGGAAAGCAGGCTGGAGCTCTTGGGCAGGGAGGAGTTGAGTCGGAAGGATGGGGGCAGAGAAGGCAGCAGCTCATCGTGGCATCCCTGCACTCTTCCCCTGCCTGTCCCCACCTCTTCCCAAAGCTCGTGTGCTGTTGCTGTTGTGTCCAGGGGCTGCTGACTGAGCAAAGTGTGGGGTCTGTGTTACAGCTAGAGTGTGAAAGCTTCTGGTGGAAATGCAGAAAGAGCATCCAGAGACAGAAGTGCCAGGTACCCCCTGCCCTGGCTCAGCCAGTGCTCTGGGAGCACCTGCAGCTTCTCCAAGGGCTTGTCTCACTTCACACAAACTCCCAAGGACTTTGTTCAGTTCAAGCATAACCACAGTTTCCACTTTTAGCTGTAGGAGATGAAAGCAAGTAGTGTAATTAGGGATTGCTCAGAATCCCACAGTTGTTCCTGGCAAGCAAGGCAGCATCCTGATGTGAAGGATGTTTCTTTGTGCATGGATAAAGAGCACAATTAGGACATGGAGCATGTTCTTAAAAACTGAAGATGACCTTTGAGCTCTAAATCACTGTAGTACAGGGAAGCAGCTTTTGGCTGCCAGATTAACATCAATCCCCTTCCCCAGAGAAGGGAGCGCCTGGGAACGGGCTGCTGGCAGCTGTTGGACATCAGCCTGGTGACCTCCCCGAGCTGCACTGAGGGCTCTCAGCAGGGTCAGGACCACGGGCACACCTCACAAAGCCAGAAATTGGGAGCCCAGAAGGGTCATTTACTGTGGGATTTGTACAAAACACAAGAGGGGGGCTATTTTTGGAAATCACAGGTCCTTGGGGACCTGTCAGTGCCTACCAAAGAAGCCTCTGCCAGGCGTGAGCGTGGCTCCAGATGCTGGAGGCTGGAGAGGGGATTCCTGCGGCGCGGCATCCCGCGGCTGCTGGTGGGGAGGAATGCTGGGGGTGGCCCTGGCACGAGGGTGCTGTGTGGGCCAGCACACAGGCCACTTCCCCAGCCTCTCCTCGCCCACTCGAGGTCACGAGAAGACCTTTGGTGTCCAGTGGAAAATGCCAAGGAAGGGCTTATGTCCCACTTAGGCTGGAGATCCCTGTCACAGGGGAATGTCTGGGTTCAGAGGTGTACCTTTGCCTCACTGTCACCAAAACTGGGCAGGGCAGCTGGTTCCAACAGCTGTGGGAGGCTGGAGTTTCCTAAGGCTCCTGGCAGGGGGGCAAATCACACTGGAGAACGTGTCAGTTGGCTTTGCTCTGTGTCACAGAAAGGTCTCCTCTGAAGTGGTGCTCCCAGGGCCGTGCAGCCCTGTCCTGCCATAGGTCCCTGTCCCCCGAGAGCTCGCCCAGCACAGGGGTCTGGCTCCCTCTCCACTGGAGCTGTGCAGCTCCCCAAAGCCTCGTTCATCCCACCCGTGGCTACACCCCCAGGCGGGCGTTTGCCTCAGTAGTGCCTCCAGCTCCTCCCCAGGTTCCTCTTCATCCAGCCCAAATCTGCAAAGTCTTTCTGCTGGCAGCATCCAGCCTCGTTCTCCTCTCCTTTGTTAGCTGGGGCTCTCATAGTCAGAGTTGCTATAAATCCCCTGGCTTTGGGAGCAGCTCTGGATAGCTGTGCCAAGACTGAACCATATGCGTGCTTATTCCTGAACATTGTGCTGACATAAGAAAAACCTCTTGCCCTCTGGCAAGCCTTGGAGCAGCAGCTAGATGTAGGAACATCAAGAAGCAGGGGTGGGGAAGAGCAAGCCAGCACTGATGAGTGAAGGACACAGAGCTATGGGACGCTGGACTGGTGGACAGGGGAAGGGGGCGCACTGCTCATGTGCCAGGCTCTGGAGCCACCCCGTGAAGTGACCCGAGAGAAGCACAGTCCCTGTGGCTGGGTGCTGCAGGAGTTCCCAAGCCACCAGCCAGAGTGCTGGCAGTGGGGCTCAGGGCTGAGATGTTCTTCATGGCCTAACCCCTGGTGGTTGCTCTGCACAGGGGCGGGGGCCGCGGTGTTGCTGCGCTCGCTGGAGCCCCTGCGGGGCCTGGACGCCATGAGGGAGCTGCGCAGCACCTCCAGGAAGGGGCCCACCAAGCTGCTCAAGGACTGGCAGCTCTGCAACGGCCCCTCCAAGCTCTGCCAGGCCTTTGGCATCGACAAGGCTTTTGACCAAAGGGACCTGACTCAGGATGCAGCCATCTGGATGGTGCCGGGACAGGACCTGCCAGGGGAGGAAGACGTGGTAGCCACAACCAGGATTGGTATTGGCAACAGGGGAGAGTGGTCACAGAAACCTCTCAGGTTTTATTTAAGAGGAAACAGATTTGTAAGTGTTGTAGACAAGAAAACAGAGAGAGAGATGGCAGCAGTGGGACATTTCTCTTGCAGCTGACAAGTCATGCAAATGTGTCACCAAGCAGGAAGTGAGCTGTGCTCTGTGTGATAGCCTCAAGTGATGCCATGACATAGGGGCTTGAAGGTTTTTAACAATAAATGTACTTTGTCACAATGAATGGGGTCAAGGTGGAATTTTATTTGTGGGACAGACTGGCACGGGTGTGCCAGCCAGAACTGAAGTTGGTTTTGGATGTTGAAGGCCACCTTCTCCCTTGCCAATGGATCCAGGTTTAATAATGGTCCACAGCTCTGCCCTGCTCCCCTCAGCCCAGGTACCCCCAGAGGCCATCACTTGGTTGGTGCAGGGGAACAGTCTCGAGGGCAGCCAGGCTGACTGGAAGGGTCAGAGCTGGGAGAAGAGGTGGCAAAGGAGAGATCTCACTGTCATCTGCAACTACCTGCTGGGTGGGCATAGAGAAGACAGAGCCAGGCTTTTGTCAGACAGGATGAGAGGCAATGGGCATAAGCCAGAAAACAGGAAATCCTCATTACCTGTATGGAAAAGATTTTCACCATGTGAGTGGTCAAACATGGGAACAGGGGCCCAGAGAAGCTGTGAGACATTCAAACCTCCTCTGGACAAGCTCCTGCAGGACCCAGTCTAACACATTTTCTTTACACAGAGGTTTGGTGAAAAAGAACTGCAGTGACTCCTTCCAACCTATACCAGTCTGTAGCATCCAGCTTAACAAACAAGAATGGTTTTTGTTTTCCCAGCTGCATTTGAAACCAGTTTAAAACTGACCCATGTGTTTACCCCAACACAGAGAAAGCACCACTGCTGAGATTTCTGCAGCCTGCCGTAAGGTACAGGGGGAAAATTCCTCTGTGATTAGGGCAGACCCTGCAGAACTGCAGCAGAACTTGGCCCCATCACATGAAAAAAGTCTTGTTTGACCCCTTTTGAATGGTAGTTGACCTTGAGAAGCAGTCGCTGGGGGCTGGTTGGGACTGAAGCCCTACAGCAGTGTTGATCTGATTTTCAGATCAGATACTGCCCTGCTTGCAGCTGCAGGGGAAAACTCCCTAAGGGGACTGTGGGTAAGTTGCTGGGCTCAGGTCTCTGGTGCACTGTGCACACCAGGCTCCCCTGGCACGACTGTGCCTGGCTGGTGGCAGATAAGGTCTATAAATCTCAGAGTTTCACCCAGTTTGCGTGGGCAAGGGAAGCTGTTCTGTGAGAGTCTGCAGCTCTGGGAAAAGCTCCAGCGCCTGTGTGTGGTATAAGGGAAGGTCTTAAGGAGGAGCATGACAATCTCTGAACAACACACACCCCCAGAAGCTGCTACCATGGAGGTGAAGGTCTCTCCCCACCCCTTCCCAGGGTACACAGCACAGAGTGTGGGGAGCAGTGGCCTCCTGCAGGCCAGGCTGGCGTGAGCTCCTGCTGTCCTCAGAAACAGAGCTGTCACCTCTCCTCCTAGCCCCGGCATGGCTGGAGGAGCAGTGCTGAACCAGAGCAGGAAGCAGGCACCCAGAGCCCTCTATGTTGGTTTTTGGCTGGACAGCTCTAACCCAGGCCAGGTTCCTTGCCTGGCTCCCTGCAGCCACAGCCACACTTGCACAGAAGGAAATGGAGGAACAAAACAAGCCCTGAGGACAACTCTGAGTGCCCTCAGCACCAGTCTCTGGCTGTGGAACTAATGTGTCCGTGCGCTTGCAGCTCATGCCAGTCCTGCTCCACAACCAAGCTCCCCCCTCCCAGTCAAAAACTGGAAACCCTCAACACCCACAAGCACAAAGCCTGCCTGGTGACAGCCCCGCCCCAACAGACACGTGGTAACAAGGACACTGGGAAGAGGAAAAAATAAGCTGTAATACAGTGAGTGTTCTCATTCATGAAACTGTTTACTTGTGACACTTGGCCTTCCTACCTGTGTCCTCCTGCCAGACAACAGCGATCAGACAGGATCCTCGGCACCCAGGGAGGCATCTCTAAAAGCCAGGCCCATGGGGACAGTCTGTTCACATCCAAATGCCCCAGCAGTCCAGGGCTGGAGAGCAGAGGAAGCACTTCTGAGGCACCAGCCTCCCACCCAGGGTCAGGGAAGGGCTGTGACCCGCGGCTCCCCTGCTGCGAGCGTGGCGTGGCAGGAATCCAGGCTAAGCAGGCACGTGCTGTCCTGCAGCAGGCCCCAGAGCCCTCGTACAGCCCAGCCCCAGCTGTCCCCCCGGGGAGCAGATGGGAAATGGGGGCCTGGAGGGGGAGAACCTGCTCTGTGTCACGTGGCAAAAAGGAACCCAAATTACCTCCTTCAGTTTTTAGGCATCTTTCAGACTATCGGCACGGAGAAGCGCAGCAGGTTCCCTCCCCTCACCAGCAGAGTCACTTCAGGAGGGACTGGAAGACTGAGATGACGGGGTCCTCGTGGCTGGTCACCACCAGCACGCTGCGGAACTTGTCGAAGAGCATGAGGAGCTGGGAGCGCCGCATGTTCTCGTTGTACATGATCTCCTCCAGGTGGTGCCGGCCCCGGAAATAGTGCAGCAGCCTGCAGGGGAGGGGAGCAAGGCAGCCCTGGGACAGAGCCAAACACAGGCTGCGACCCCCGGGGTTTCCTCTCCCAGGGGACACACATCAGTGGTGTTGGGGTTCTGTCCGTCATTTACATGAAAAATGAATTCCATGGGTTCTCTCCTTAGGCATGCCCAGCACTGAAAGCCCCTGGAAAAGCAGTGCACTCCCTGCTTAGCAAAGGTCCTCCTTGTATCAAAAGGTTTCCAAGCCTGGGGAATTTCCTGAGATTGTCAATTTTCAGCATAGTTTTAGGTTCAGAAAGTGAGGAACTGCAAGTGCCAGGAAGCCTTGAGAAGTCAGGACGTGGCAGATTTACTTCTCTCTTAGCTGGGTCTGCAATGCCCTTTGTCACAGCTCTGCATCTGGGTGCCAACACTTGCTTTAAGAATCCGGAGTCTATTTTCCCTCACAGCAGCCCAGGGGGCTTGGTAACTAATGGTCATGAACACCTAAGGTTTGGTCAGCTTGGGTTAGGTGGAGCAGTCACAAAACAGATGGAAATTTTGGTGACAGGCACCACAGAGAAGCTCTGGGAGTTATAAAGCACTTAGCCCCAAAATCCTGCAGCTAAGCTCAAACCACACAGGCTTCTTAAATTCCCAGTTGTCTTTAAACAGTGACAGCACAGCCAGCTAGCTTTGCTGGCCACCAACATGCTACAGGCATCAGATAGCCCTGGCCCTGCACAAAGACAAACCACTGCAGCCTCCCTGCAGCAAGCTCCTGTGGGCTGAGGACCTGCTCCCCTGAGACCTCCAGAGCCATGGCTCCAAGCCAGCCCTCCAGACACAGCTCGAGTTCGCTGCCCAGTCCCTTCATTGTCTTGACAACCTCCTAACTGTAGGAACCAGACTGCACGTGTCACTGGAGTCCTCCCACCCACCAAGGCCCAGACACGTGCACCAGAGTCACTTCCCCAGCTCTGCAGGCAGCTGTGCACCCACGTATGACAGGCACCTCATGCTCTGCCACACCCAGCTGCAGCTCAGGAACGGGCTGGCCTGCAGCCTCCAGACCTGCTTTCCAATTCATTCAGAGTCCTCACACAAGAACAGCCCCAGAGAGACACCAAACACCCCTCTGAGCACTGCTGCCTGCTTTCCCCCCACGGCAGCATGGGGCCTCCCATGCTTGCCCTGAAGGACCAGCGTTTGCCCGGCTGTCTTCTGTTGGTCAGGCAAGGCACTCTGTCACCCCTCACCCTCACTGGAAAGGAGACACCGTGCAAGAAGTGCACACCCTCCCTCTGCAGCACAGAGAGGTGTCACCCCTAGACCACTGCCATTTGTTTCCCTGCTCCCCAGTTTGCCATGCCCCTCCTCTCCCTGCCCTGCTCCCCAGACAGCAGTGGGGAGGCTCAGGGCTGGGAACCTCGCTGCCTGAGCCCTGCGGGCAGCCCCTGGCACCCTGCGAGCTCCCTCCTGCTCTGCTCTTCATCTGCCAGCTCTCAAACTGGCACCATTCTGGAGAACATAATTGCTATGTCTCTGTGCCTGCAGTACAAACAGCAGGCAGCAAGCCCCAGTCCTGTTTACCTTTCCACCCTCCAGGTTATGTATTTGCCTTCTGCAGTGTCTCCCACTGGGTATTTAAATCAGGCTAATTGGCCTCCTCCCCTGTGCAACCAGTGTGCACTGAGAAGTGGCCATTAGCAGGGACAGCGCTGGTTTGTGTATGGGTCAAACCCAGACCATTCCCTGGAGTTTTAGCAGAGAATGTTGGGTACTCTGTCCTGGGACCTGTACCACTGTTCAAAAAGTCCTTGTGAAACAGATCTGACAAGCTGTGTGTTCTCTCCCTTCTCCAGAGCTGCTCGCTGTGGTTGCCCAAGCTCTCAGCTCCTGGCACTGCTGTCCTCTGTGCAAACCATTATGACCTGGCTTTCAACAGCAACACAGACTAACCAGGAGTTTTCCAATAAATAAATCCACCCTATATTCAAAAAAGGTCTGGATTTGTAACTGGTCAAGCTGAAACACTTTCCACTCCAATAACAGCTAGAGAGGATATTAAAGAATATCACAAAAATGCCGTCTGGAAGATACTTCCAAAATCTCATCCAGCATTCAGCTCCAGCAGGACTATTGCCAAGGCTGTAGCTGTTCCTGGCCAAGCTCTGAAACCCTCCAAGGACAGAGATTCCCCCCCATGCCTGGGGAATCGATCCTGGGCTGCAGCACCCTCCCAGGGAGGAAGCTTTCCCAAAAGTCCAACTAGAATCTCCAAAGCTGTAACTTGGGGCTCACAGCTCCAGTGAAGACGGGCACAACCTTCTCCTGTCTGGGCTGTGAACATTTATGGGCCCCAAGAGGACAAATGATGGCACTTCTTGGGGCAGCAACACTGCATCTGAGTCCCTCTGAAGCTCACAGGTATGTCTGTTGACAGATGTGCACTTCCAGATCCAGATGCAGTGATGGAAGAGCATTGCTTTCCATTGCCCATCGCTGTTCTCCCCTTGCCAGGCTGTAAGAGCT